GTGGGGGGGGGTAACAGCAAATTTTGGAGTGGCTGCAGCCCCCCCCTCCCAGGACCGCTGCTGCCAGCCCCACCTAAGCGCAGCCCCAGTCCAGCCCCACTGCTGGGAAGAGGCTGGTGCAGTCTCAGGCCCACAGTGCGCAGCCTCCCTTTCTCCCTGCACAGATTCAGAGGTCACAGGACCCCCCCATGCCTCCCCCAGTGTAAGCGCAGCAACAGTAGCTGCCCCCCTCTGCCCAGACAAGCAGCCCACGGCTGTCCCATGCCCTGCCTCACTCCTTCCCTGACCATGGGGGCCTCTAACTGCAACCCCCACGCCTCTTTCCCCCAACAGACTTACCAGCCAGATGCTGCTCTCTAAGCTGCCAGGCTGCATATTAGCAATCGGATCAGTACTGGCTGATACTGCTGGTTAATAGACTATTTCAGTACTGGGCAAAAAAAAAAAAAAAATCTTCATCAGTGCACCCCTATTATTCACATATATAATCATCTTTTGGAGATGTATTTAACCCTTAGGATCAGTCTTTTGGCAAGCTGCAGTAGTTAATTATGAATCATAAAAATATTTCCTGTAAATATTTTTTTTAATTGATTCTCTTTAATGCGATAGCTTATAATTTTGCTGGGCTTTTCTATTTGCTGAAAAGATAAGAGCAACATCCAATACATGCAAGTTGTTATTGGATGCTAATATACTGTTTTATACTCACTGCCCAACTACATAATCTTAAAATTCTCTTTATATGGAATTTTTCTGCTTATAGTATTTTTTCTCTCCTCTAGACCTTTCCTACTTTAATCTTTTTGAGATGAGGAACCAGAACTGATGGTACACCTTTCATTTGTGACATATCTGGGACTACTATAGTCCATTTCATCTTTATTTTGCACACTAACTCTAGTAGAGTCTTTGTTGAACTGTCTTTCTTCATCTCTATTTTCCAAGTGGTTATAGTTTATTTAGAATTGTACATCAATGTGTACTAACTTGTATTTGTCTACAGATTCTGATCTGCTATCATGTGATCAGAAGAGAATGTCTAGATAAATATTCCAGTGGGAAATCAGAAAAATGTCTTTGAGTGATGAACTATCTTCCTACCAAAATTCAATGCATGGTTCCAACACCCCACCCCAAAAGGTATTAGAACTAGAGAGTCACTTTTTTTAAAACACTGACAAAGCTAATTATTTTTGCTAACCTCTCTCAAAACGGATTCAGATTATTTTCACTCAAGCTTACAAAAAATTCAGCCACAGAGACCAAAATGCAAAATTCCAACTCAAGTTACTAAAACTCAATTAAATTATAAGCAACTGAATTTTAAGTAAGCTGCTATTGTTGCCTAGCATTTCTTACATGACAATAAAATTTCTACTTTTGCAAAAACAACTTTCAACTCTGAATATCATAGTTGCTGTAATTCTGACTGTAGTTTAGATACATTTTCTTATGCCAATTAAATCATTTTTTAAAAGTTAAAATATTTATTAATATATTACCTGCATTAATACCTTAGATAAAATTGATTTTATTGTAGAATGTTCTTATTTAAAGATTACTTGCTGCTGCCTTTTCCCCAGTAGAGACAGTGCTACAAACTAGTTAGTTTTGCAGTCTGGCTTACACATTAAAATACCTTAGTGTTAACGACTGTAAAACTAAATGAAGAGTTTAGTTTAAACAAGAAGATTTTCTTTTGTTTTCCTACTCAGTATTAAATGCTGTGCATTCTGTGGTGAGTCAATTATTAATACATTACTTAACTAAGATTACTCAACTAATGTCATAGATTTTATATTGCTCCCCTTTTTTAAAAAAAAGGAGTTGATTTTGTTTTCACAAAGTTTCTCTTATGCATTTATATTAACATAAAGCCACAGGTTTCAATTCTCACCCAGGTCACATTGATACAAAGAGTGCTAATTCATTCAAATCTTTTAAAAACCTGGACACTATTTCACAAGATGAAGTGCCAACCTGCATGATACTTGGCACAAATAAGAACGATGGGAAGTGGAAAAGCTGTTTAGTATAGAAAAAATTAAAATTTAAAAACTGAAAATGGTGTGTTTGTGTATTACAAATATTAGACATATTTATGTTAATTAAATCCACGTCATCAACTAAAAAATTTGAATTTATAACTGGTTTTGGTCCAATCTATTCAGAGAATTTATTCTCTCTCGTATAACAGCAGACATAATTCTATAAAGGTTCTCTCAAAATTATTTAAAAGTTTACTTGGAGAAATAATTGTGTTTAGAAATAGTTGTATTTCAAGAAGTATAATCAGTTTTCCTTCTCCATTTTTACTGCTACTAAAGACATTTATAGGAAACTAGACTGTTAGACAAACTCCATAGAATATCTTTTTCGTCATCAGAAGTCTTGTACATCATAATTATATCTACATGAATGAACTGTGATTTAAAAGAGGATTGTGACTTTAAATGAGGCATGAACAAGTTAATATTTAAGATACCTGATTTTCAGATGTCTCTCTAGCAATTAAAATGTCAAGGAAAACACCACTAGAATGAATCTGATGAAGAGGCATGGTTACTTACAAGAGGGAACTTGTCCAAGTTTTTCAAAAGGTATCAGAGAATCTGCTAAAAATAATCTTCTAAAACTGTTCCTGATTTCACAATTAAGAAGCCTTAGAAATAAAATCTATTTTGACCAGCTTTAATAGGGTTCATTAATGTCAGTGATTGCTACCAGACATCTACCGCAAGTAAAGATTTAAGACAAATGAAAGGATAAATTTACCATTATCAAATTGCACTTTAAACAACAAAAGCTACATACACACAACACAGCACAAAATCATGCTAAGAATTAAATAAAACCAACCTTATTCTTAGGCCTCTGTGAGGGCTGTTTCAAAATAAATGCAAAGTAAAACTTTATGTAAATTTTAGTCAAAAAAGCTGTCAGTTAGTTAATTTTCTTTTTAAAGAAAATTAACTACCATATTAAAAACTAGCAAATGAGTAGAGAATGTTTCAAAAGATGGCTGTATTTTCTTATGCAGAGAAAGGTCTAGAAGTTTTCCAAATATTCCCTTCCCAAAACCCAACAAAATTAGTCCTTTAATTTCACATGATGAAACACGGTCAGATAAAAAAAATCAAGAGACTGGGGCTAATCTTCTGGTTACCAAAGGGACAAGTCGTATCATTCAATCGAGTAAAAAAACAAAACAAAACAACAAAAACAACCCCTCCCACACACAAAATAAGATCTCTTTGGCTGAAATACACCATGTTTGATATACAACTATGATGGTTTATGCAAGAGTTAGTTAGAATATTATATAATATGAAGTAAAACTAGGCTGGATACAATCACCAATAATCAAAACTACATCAGGAGCTATGATTTTAAATGCTGTAGTGCACATACACTCAATATACAAACTAGTTAAAATCACCATATAGTCAATGGCCCCAATAAATAAGGTGACATGAGAAAAGTAAACCTATTCTACATAGTAAGAAATTAGTCTTTATGCGTTCCTGTACAGTGTCATGAATAATTGCGGGCATTATATACAAGTGTCAAGTTTCTCTATACAGGAATGCTGTTTTATCTACCCACGCTGTCCAGCTGTACATGTAATCAGTTCATTCACACACAAGATGTGAATTTGTCTGATAGCACGGAAGGAAAAAAATCAGAATTTACTCACCATGGAGGAGTCCCTGTGACACCACATTCCATCCTATAAAGGAAGTGAAAGTGCTCTTCCCTTCGGTCTGATTTACAAGAAAGAGAGAGAAAGAGAAGGTTGTAATGTTGCTACACTACGAACTATTATGGAAAGAGGGACACCTGTTCCGAGACTAATATAGCACATACAGAACGAAACTGGGATTTTTTTTTAAGTGATAAATCAGAATACATTCTGCTAGAAAGAGACATGTGCTTTCTCACTGAACTTAATTAGACAATTAAGGATTTGTGTATATTAAACAGCTGAAATTAGTCCTTAGCAAAAAATAAGGCTTGGGACCAAGTCTGCAATGTGAACTGAAATTTACTTTTAACCAAGTCTGGCAACATGAACAAAGGAATAAGATCTGTAAAAGAAAAGTGAGCAAGCTTTTTTTCCCCCCGTAGAAAGTTCTCTGCTATAATTCTTTCCTTCAAGTAATGCAACAGATATATTTAAGGAAGAGACTAAAGCCCTGTGGTCTTTGATAAGGAGGATGGGGTATGTTACAGTTACTTTGAGGTGCATCTGTAGTAGAAGTAAGCTAAATTAGTCATAACTAGACAAAAATCTACTCATTTTTCAGAGGAAATGAAACAGAGCAGTAAGATACCCTGTATGACAAGCATGTTTAGAGCAAGTCTGTTTATTTGCTCTCAAAAAACAAAACGAGTTTCACTCTTCATGAAGCATTTCAAGGCCATGCTAGTTGGATGTTAACATTTCCTATTTATATGTATGTATTGCCTAAATAAGTATTTTCTTGTCGTTTTTTTAAAGGCGTAGGTCAGTAGGAACAAGAAAGCCCTTCTTTTAAGAAAGAACAAAGATGTAACTTGAGCTGGTCCTTACTGATTTCATGACTAAATTACAGGCTTCATTTTCTTTAGGGGCAAAGAGCACCCGATTTAGTATCCAAAATGTCTTGTAGAAAACAGGCAATTTTAAGGTTTCACTTTTAACACTTTGCACAATATTCTTGTGAGCAATAGTGGTCTGCGTCATTTCTTCAAGGGACTGTAGCTATATTAGGTTAAAAGGTCAAGAAAAAAAAAATCAACATTTCTAGAAAATGCTTCTATAAAAGGCAGAAGCTGCATTATGCCTGGAACAACTTATGTGTTGAGCCAGATCTTACTAGTCTTAAGTGTCAAAAAAGTACTTTTTATTACAGGACTATTACAAGGAAACTGTCCTCAAGCAATGTAAATGTTTTAAAAGATGTTTCCAACAAATTTCTGGAAACCTTTACATTATGGTTCTAACACATGCTCAAGCAGCTGAAGAATATCTTGGTTAATTATCCAAAGCTTAATTTATGATAAAGACTAGCAAAGAAAGATTTTTTTTATTTAGGAAAATAGGAAACATATATATAATGAAGTTATCTGAATTGTGTTAAAGGGTTGATTTACCAATTTTCCTCAACTTCCTGCGCAGTTTTGTCAAATATTTGGAGGAAATTACAGAAGATGTACATATGGAAGAAAGACCTAAGGAAGTTAAGCTTGCCAGGCTATGCAAACATGGAGGTTGGGAAGGTCCAGCAGTACCCCGAGTTTGACTATAAAAGAGATCAAAAAGACAGTTCACATTTTTCTCAATGACAAACTTGGATTGTTCTAGCAACACATGCTTTGTGGTTTAAGCAATTCTGAGCATCTCTGAAGGTACTGTACTGACAAATACACAGAACTGGAATTTTCTCAAAGAACCAAAATCTAGACCAAGGAAGTGAGTTGCAATGATGATTTGATCATTAAGTGCAAAAGAATTTGCATTCTCTACCAGATAAAGCAAGAATGTCAGACTTGAAGAAAGAGATAGAAATGAGACTGGAAACTCTTTTAAAACATGGTAAATCTTCCTGTCCATCTCAGCTAGCTTTAAGTGAATGAATGTTAGAAAAAAAAACAAAAAAACCCAGAAAAGACTACTAAATGCAGTTCCTTTTTTTTCATTTAAGTACCTTACATAGTACCATGAATAGATTGACATCAAAAAACCCAGACTTTTATTCCTTCAAAAACAGAGCAATATAATCCTTTTCTATTTTAGAAAGAGCATTACAAATTTCAAGGAAAAATAAAAGAGTAAAAGGGATACAGAATGTCAGCCAATCTCTTTACCAAGTTCTCAATGAAAAAGAAGGGAGGAGCACTTTTATTTACTACACAGAATGGAATATGATGTTACAGCTATAAGGAAGTCAATTTGTTTGAAATAAGGGTGAGAGAACCCACCTGAATTTGAGGAAGAGAAAGTTAAAGATATCAAGTCATCTGCTTTGTAATCAATAACTTTAGTAATTGTAGATGTGTTTCACATACCTAAATGTTATTTAGATACAAATCGTAGCCTAGTACTTTTTAAAATTAAAGCCCAAATCTTATTTTTTGCTATAGCAAACTGAACCAGTGTACTTAAGTACCAAACATGTGTAAAACAGAACTATGTCTAGAAACAAATTTACTGTATAATTACAGATAAAGTTACAGTGTATGGTAAACTTTAGTTAAGCGTGAACTAATTTAAAATATCCATGAATTAGACACAGCACGAGACAGTGAACTATTGTGGCATACACAGTATTAGCAATCTTGTCTAATGAAGAGTTTATCTAAATGCATTTGGACTTAGGTTTTAAAGTGAGGTTGACTGGGAAAGTGTTTGCACATAACTGAACTTTTTTACTGAAAGGATCCACTCCTTTAAGGATAGTGAGAATCATAGCTGCTGACGTAAGTAATAAAAATAAAAAGTTTTCCTCCTACTTACTTCTTTAGTCCCAAAAAGTGAAGTTAATTTCAGCAGAATAAGGTGGATTCTACTGACTCTTACAGATAATAGTTAAAATTTATAAAAAGTTGGACCGTGTACATTTGTACAACCTTACTGAAGGCAATGGAGTTGTTAAGGTGTAAATATAGTTGTCTGTCTGTTATGTTTTTATTCCAGATTATGACAAACAAATAGAAAAATGTGTTTCCAAACTACACTGAACCTGCAAGTCCAGCAGTAAGGTGTGAATCGAGTAAAAGAGTCAATAAGAATAAATCTTCACAATGCCATTTTTAAGCCACTTGAGAGTGTAACTACATTTAATAACATCATTACAAGTTTTATATTTTAAAACGTAATTTAATTGGTAATAAAAAATAAAATTGATACTTTGCTGTACATGGCGATAAAATCCATATCTGCATTATGAAAACTCTCCTAGGTTGAAGCTTGAATTTAAGGAGAAAGATAAGATGTTGAAGGCTGCCATCTAGTGATCATTTTAATAGTTTTAAAATTATCTCCAAATAGGCACACAAAATTTCCATGCATATAAAAGATGCTTCAAAAGCTATGACTTTTTTGTGAAATAATCAAACTAATTTCATTTTGTGCAGAAGACTGGTTCTAAAATAAAATATTTCAAATAATGTGTTTCGTAAAACACTACATGAATGTATTACAACTATAAATTGCCCACAATTATCAGGTTGAAGTACAGCTTGTGGAAACAGGATCCAATTAGCTTCACACCCCAAATAAAATTCAGCATGGGCACCAGCCCTGGAAATTCTCACCGATCATATACAGTATATTCCAAATCTTGTATAAAGCCCAACTAGAGATAGATCCCTTTTCAGAATGAGATTAATAGCTTTCTAAAACTTTTAATACTGATCTAACCTAACAGCCATGGAATGAAAGCCTGTATATTCATTACCAATCCCACAAAAGCCAGTTCCTTAAAAATCCCATTAATGAACTACCACTCCATTTCCTTAAATAAATATCATACATCTTATATTGCTACCCTTTTTTAAAAAAGGGTTAATTTTGTTTTCACAAAATTTCTCTTAAGTATGTATATTAACATAAAGCCACGGGTCTCAATTCTCATGCAGGTCACATTGGTACAAAGAGTGCCAGTTCATTCACAAGAAAGATAGTTTAACAGAATAAAACCCAGAGATAAGGCTGTCTGCTGTGTCTTTTAATCTCAATGTACTTAAGAATAATTATGAACTTGATATAATGCAGTCAGTGAAGCAAACTGACTGAATGGACAGTACACCTAATATCACTTCCCTGTGTTGTTTGGGGTTAAGAAACTCTTTTACAGTTCTTGAATTAATAATGGGCTCCAAAAGTCTAAGACTGAGGGCCATAAAACTAAACAAACTAATTACAAAAACTTAACTATTAGTATTCTTTAAACACTAACCATATTTTCTTTAGAAAAAAACAAAAACAAAACCTACTTACCGTAAGCCATAGCAAGGCAGAGTGATGAACCGGAACATTGCCAAAAAAACTCTCAGAGGAAGCAGGGTGAACACAT